TCTTTTCTTCTCATCTTTGTTCGACAACTGTTTCTGTTTTCCTTCTTTTTTGTCGAACCTTTTCCCGTCCGACTGTTTTGTACTACAAAGATCAGTCGCCTGTATATAGGCTTCCGCTTCAATCAAGGCCTCTTGAAGATTCGCCACCCTCTTTCGGACCAAATCAAATTTGAATGTCGACCCGTCTTTGAGACCTCTGAAAAAGTCAGTATAGGCTACCTCATCCGGTAACCCTTGAATCTGTATTCTCATCAGGTTAAACCGCCTGATGTAAGAACGAAGCCCCTATTTCTCGCCCTGCTGAATCGTTCCTAAGTCAAGGGTCGTCTTCTTCGCAGGTATGTTCATGGCAAAGTTGGAGGTGAATAAGTAAGCAAGCGTCCTGAAGTTATTCACACAACCAGTCGGCAGGTTGCCGAACCATTGTTGTGCGATTCCTTTGAGAGTCGCTGGAAAACACTTGCACCAAGTGGGATCATCCAACCCTTGAAGGTACATCAGGTTGGTGAATGCCATCAAATGGTCTTCTGGGTTAGTAGTGCCGTCATAGGCGCCTACTAATACATTTTTTACTTTGGCCGGCTGAGCGGCTTCAGCAATTTCCTTGGAGAAGGCCGACGACTGTTCCCCAAGTCTAAGCAATCGTAGCTGCTAGTCCATAGGTTGGACATTCTTTGCTGCATGCCCACCAAACAGAGGTGGCTGCAAAAAATATTGTTGTTGCGGTACAAATGGTAAGTTTGGTACCGCCTGGTCACTATGAAAGCCGGACTGACGGGAGGTGCCGCCTGACTGACTCTCATGATACGACTGAGTATACTTCATCGAGGTATTACGTAGACTGTCTTGGAAGTCTGAAGTAGAGGCCGACTCTGACAAACGGTCATTCTTCTTCTGTTCTAGCAATAGCCGAGCATCTGTGTATTTTTTCTTCGACCCGTCCGCCTGAATATGACGAACAGGTTTCCTCTTTCCTGGAGTAGGAAAGCGGTACTTTGTGAAATCATGGGCAGGCGGCTCCCACTTCCTAGAGTTAGGATGAGGGGTCGCCTCTCTCCCTTGAACTGGCTTCCTCTTCCCTGAAGTGGAAGGTTTCTCAGCCGACTGCTCCTTGGCCAGAGCAGGCTTCTTGTTGAGCAACTCTTGAATCTCTCCCTTGAAACCCCTCATGAAGGTCATGAGTTCGTTTCTTGTAATGGGAGCAGACCCATCAGCCAGCTGCTGCTAAACAGGCGGTGCGCCGGCTGGATCACTGAGTCTAGTTTGAAGATGTTCCCGTTCCCTCCTTTCGGTATGACGGGTGCGTCGGGCCCTTAGGGTCCCGTCTGAAGCTGTGTGAGCTTCAACTTCAAATTCTTCCTCAGTATCATGGTCCGACTGAACTTGAGGGTCGTCTAAGGGACGCCTCTCTTCAGGAGTCGTTACAGACATGGAGGCCATCTCAGAAGTACTCTCCCCACAGACGGCGCCAAAATGTTTCGAGGTTTTCTGATGTCCTGCGGGAGAGTTACAATTCCGAGACTGGAACCGGACGCCTGTACCTGCAAAACAAACGGATGCTCCGGATGATTGGAGATCCGCCTCCGACGGTCAAGTTAGTACTTGATTAAGGAGTAATTAATGCGGAAATAAAAGTAATTAGGTCTCTCTAGGTGAGAGTGTTAAATGTGCGTCATCCCCCTTAATGAAGATTAATGGAGGTATTAATAACCTTGGGAAACGTGCCAATCCTAGGTTTAGGTTAACCTAGGGCTGATTGGGCTTCCCTTGGAAGTTGGGCCTAGGTGGCCAATTTCTCCATTAGGCATGGAGGATGCCACGTGTCATGACATAATAGGTCCAGGGTGGACAAATAGACGTGTGCCACGTGGCAAACCCTGACAGTTCCAACTAGGGGACACTTGGCAGGACCTGATTGGCCCACGTGGTGCATTCCGATTGGTGGGAGAAAAATCCCCTAATCAAGCGTCGTGTTTTATTCTTTTTGAAACTCTCATTTCTTTTTTATCATATCCGACTGATTTTCTTTATAAATAGCCTCCTAAAACCCCCGTTTTCAATCATGAACTCTCATGAAGAAATTCTTGATTCTCTCTCTCTCTTTCTAAACTAGCCATTTCACAAACAAAATTCCGCATTCACAAGATCTAGACACACCTAGCCAAATTCAAAGTTGTCTTCGCCCTAGGCGTGAAAGGTTTTGTTTTTCTGAGGGTTTGGTCCCAAATCTAGTCTGAACTTTCTAAATTCTTTATCTCTATTTTAATTATTTAATTTAATTGTTTGATTTTTATATTTTTTGAAGTTACTAACGTGTGTATTTTGTTATTAGAAAGAGGTACGAGGCATCCAAGTAAGTGCTTTAATTGTTTAATTGATATTATGATATAGAAGTCTTGCTTAGATTGTTATTTTGATTCCTAGTATCATGTTAGGTTGTTTTATTGCTTCCTAGCATCATGTTTAGGGTAACAACTAAAAATTTCTAATATCAAGTATGATTGTTGTGATGCTTCTTATTGTCTTTCTTAATAGCATGTTAGTATCATTTTAGGTTAAATTTTTGATTTTTATTGCTTAGTGACATGCTAGGGTTAAATATATATAATAAAAATTAGAATTTGAATTTTGTTTTGCTCGAGGATGAGCAAAAGTCTAGCTTGGGGGAATTTGATGAGTGTCATTTATCGCACTCTTAGGCTAGGTTTTCTTTGTAGTTTTATACTCGTTTTTAGTCTTTTATGTCGTGTTTTTACGTAATAATGCTTGTTTTGCGTGTTTGTGTGTAAGTTTAGCATGTCACTAAGCAATAAAAATCAAAGATACTGACATAACTCTCTTTTTCTCTCTCTTATGCAGTACACAAGTTTTACCTCTTCCTCAATTTTTTCTCTCTCCTAGGGTTCTTCACCATTGAAGCTTACACAAGTTCTCTCGCCCCTCCTCCATTGAAACAAGCTTTGAATTTCTTGATCGACAATTAGAGTGTAATCACATTATTCCTCTCAGTCCACCATTGAAGTGTACGCTCATTCCAATTATTCACCATTAAAGTGAAACTCGATTCTCCATTGAAGCAGTGAATTGGTGTAATTTATGGTGTTGTTGGTGGGCGAATCAGGCGCTGCTGTTTGGAAATGTATAAGATACGAGCAGCAAGGTCCGTGGGTTTGTGAGTAGGGCTGTGCATCGGTCCAAAATCGGACCAGATCGGAACCCGAAATCACCATATTTTAAGGACCGGGACTGGACCATAATTAACCGGTTTGGGTTTCGGTTTAGACCTATTTATCCCAGTCCGGTCTGATTTTAGACTGGAATGGTCCGATTAAACACTTTTTTCTTTCCATTTTTATATATACATCATTTTTGGACGTCTTGTGTTTTATTTGCGTGCTTTCCTATTTTCCACCTAGAATTTATAAATTTAAAGTTTTATACCTAATTTTTTAAAAAAAATTTAAACATAAAATATAAAAATTTCACCTAAATAATAAGAAAATACACTTTCCAGTCGGTTTCGATCCGAACTAGAATATTCTGGTTTTTACCCAGATCGGACCGGAAACAACAAAATGTGAGGACCGAAGACCAACCCGGAATCCAACGGTCTGATCCGGTCCAATTCCGATCTGGTCCCGGTCTGGTTTGCAGTCTCAGTCCTTTGTTGCACACCCCTATTTGTCATAATGTTGCTGGAGTTGTGGCTAGTGTTGTTGCGGGAGAAGTGGTGTGTCTAGTTGCTGTTGCGGGAGTTGATGTTGTTGTTGGTTGGTGTTGTGCCGTTTGGCAGGGAGAAGGTGCGCCAGATAGTTGTGTAGTGCAGCTAGGTGGTTATTGTGCTAAGTGGCTGGTGGGGTGGAGTTCCTAAATTTGGAGGAATTTGGATTTAATAGAGTATTTTTGGGAATAATTTGGGGTATTTTTGAACTTCTTTGGTAGTACTTTAATGAAATAATCAAAGAAATTTGGGTTTAATTTTAAGGTTTATTGAAGAAAAAAATTGACAATCTGAGCAAGAGGATGAGATGAAATTTGGGGATTTAAGATTGAGTAGAGAGAAAGAAAAATTATGTGAATTAAAAGTGTAAGTTCATTTACTTAATTCAAAATTTCACTCATCTCCAAACATAAATAGAATTTGAAATTTTGATATTTCTCAAATACTCAGTATTTAAATTGATAATTCCAACATTTAAAATGAATATCATGTTTCCAAACACAACCCGAAAGAATTTCAAATCCTGACATTGTAATTTTCCATGTTTTACTTTGTCAAGCAAACAACACCTTCGTTGACAAAAAATAACGGTGAACGAGGAAAAAGAAAATCTCTTACACCAACTTCCAACCAAAATTCCAAATTTTCAAATTAAAGTGAAGCTTCTCCTCATTTTGTTTGCATTATGATCCTCAAATTCACAACCTTTTCAGAAAATCTTCCAAATTCCATTAATCTACCTTGAAGCCTTGAAATTATGTAGACAAAGTAGAGGTATTTGGGAATTTAGTTTTGATTTCACACTGAAATTCTGTAAAACAATGTACTCTTTCAATTAAATCGAGAAACAATGAAAAATAGGAAGAATTTATCAGCTTTGATAAGTATATTGGGTTGTGTGAAGGAAAGAAGGGATTATAGATGAGAGAGATGTAGGAAGGAGAGAGAGTCAAAGAGGAAATGGGGCTTACGGCTGCCACTCAAACAAATTAAAACCCTAAACTTTTTACCTCCTTTAACCTAACATAAAATTTAAAAAACAAAGGATACTGGGTCAACGGGTACTCGACCAGAATAAGGGATGGCCCATGACCCGAGGATTTTAGCAGGCCGGGGACCAACCCGAAAAAATTGAATTTTTTTTTCCAATTACCTGTTGGTATTTTGCATGTTGCCAGGTCGGGTCAAGTGGGTTGGGTTTTTTGAACACCCCTTACATGCCTACATGGTTCAATAATGCTGATCCTGCTGCTAAGCTACCTATGAAAACAATTAGTCATAAAGGTAAAGGTATACTAAAAAGCAGCACTAGTTCTTTTGATAAAGTATGTACAATGCAATGTTACCAAATTATAACCTGTGGTTCAAATGATAACCAGATCCAATTTCCCCAAAAGCGAAGAAAAGAACAGAACGGTTACAGGAAGGTGGGGGAGAAAGGATCCATAAGCTAAGAAAAGAAAGCAACTACAGAAACGTGGGTGTAAGACACCCAGTTAGCTGGCAATCTAAATGATCTTTGGACCTAAATACTCTATTCCGTCCATCTCTGAGTTTTCTGGCATCTCAATCTCTTCCAACCATCTGAATGACTGCTCACCTTCTTTCACCTCAGCTAAAGTTTCATCTGCATTTTATAAAATTTCATCATTAGCAAAAGTGTACACATATATTCATTACATTGTAAAAATTAACAGCAGCTCCGTATTAATCATATATGGCTTGGCATCCCTCTTTCTGATGTTTGCATTTCGCATTTGATAAATTTGCATAATAATACAAGTTATTGTCAACAGCAGCACTTGGTGCAAATTAACTATTGGTTCATAAAAGGCAATAGGCAAGTTGTCCCTGTCCTTCAAGTCCAGTGCACTTGTAACACACCTCACACACACTAGTCACATTTGAATATTTGAAAAATGGTAACATACTCCTTATGCGGTTATGCCATAACATTCTTCTGAATTCTGGAGTTGATAAAAAGTAAATAGAAATTTTAAGGACAATGTCATTACTTATTAATGTGAGCAGTATTATTTCCTCTTTTTATGGTAATATCAGAATCTCCCTCAGAAATAATTGTGAACTTGTGTCACTGTTTTAGGATGTACAGAAATATTTGTCAACATATAGCAATAAATTATAAGAGAAATTATAGGTAGTCCTACTTGTCACTTTAGGCTTTTACCTATGTCCCTTAATTCAATTATGCACCTAATTAAAGAAGATGAACAAGCGATGATTGCTGAACTTTTAGGGGTGGCTAAACTAGAAACATTGTAGAGAAAGATAGATTGAAGATGGAGCTTCACTATGTTACTTGGACTCTTCTTAAGTACATAGTCAACCTTCTTTATTTATTTATTTTTCTTTTTTTTTTTTAAATAAATAAATGTTCAACCTTTTCTAAGTTACTTAGTACTCCATCCATCCCAATTTACTTGCCTCGTTTTCCTAATTGGGGAGTCCAAATATACTTGCCGCATTTCTCTTTTAATTTTTTTTTCCTCTCATACTTTGATTTCTTTTTAACTAAGTCTATTCACCCAACCATTTTTTCTTGTCCACGGGGTAGATAAATTGGGACAAAGGAAGTATTATTTTTCATGATTATACCAGGGAATCCATAAATGTCTAGCATAAGTCATACAAAAATAAAAAAAATAAAAAAAAATTGGGGTGTTGGAGAAAAACAGGATCATTAACATGATGATGTCGCTTTTCATGTTGAGTAGATGATAAACCCTTTCCAAAGCTCCACTCTTTTATACAGCTTAACCTGAATATATTAGGAATTTAGGAGATATTTCAATAGATTAGAGCCTAGGAGAATTATTAGGCTTCTGTAAAATTATTTATTTTTAGCAATTATCACTAAGGGTCACACAAATGATAATGAGAAAAAGAACGGAGAGGGAGAGGAAAATTTATTCAACAGGATGGTAAATGAAGAGTTGGTCAAGTAATTTGATTCCTAAGTTTTGAGGTGTTAAAACAACCTTAATAATTCTGGACTCAGGGATTCACAATATCAATATTCAATTGTATTCAACATTACTTGTAAGTTGTAACTAGTAAAGGCTGACTAGATTCAGCAAAAATCAGAATATATGAGGTGAAACTTGCCTGAAGATGCTGACATAACTTCTTTGTAATATGTACAGTCACGGCCATCTTCTTTTGAGTAAGGCGGTCCAAGGACATCAAGAACAGCACATGGTGTTAGGGCAGTGAACTCATGGATATTGCCCCCTGTGGTAGGATAGAGGACTGATGTGCTACATGGAGATGTAAAGACACTGTCAGCTTTTAATTTTGCCAACCTCCCTGCAAAAAACATTCAAGTTCAATTGGAAAATCTGTACAAAAATACTACGTATTCAAATTAAAGAGAACTGAAAGAACAGATGACTTACTTGATGAAGATTTTTTGCTACAATCCACGTCTACTGAATCATCCCAGTCATATGCTTTGATGTGCATTTTACCTAACAGTAGTTTGTTGAAAACTGTCATTTCTGGATGATTGTGAAGAGGGATGACAGCTGATGCTGGAAGAAAGAAAAGCACCAACTGCAGTTTGAGAAAATCAGACAATCAGAAGAAGCCATTGTAACTTGAATGTTGAATTCTGGCAGGCAACATTATACTCCCCCGGTTTTTTAATACTTGCTTCATTTCTACTTTTTGCACTAATCATCTGTCCTACTTTGATTAATATTTGTGATTTATACATAAGAAAAAATATAGTCTTGTGGGTACTTGTTGGAATCGTCTCAATAAATAAATTAATAATTTTCAATTGTTAGAGTTTATACTTGTTGAAAATTAAAAAAATTATTAATCAAAGATTACCATCGGCAAACGTGCCCAAGAGAAATGGAGCAAATATTTAAAAACGGAGGGAGTATGAGCTAAGATTAGATGTTAATTAATATGCATAACACATCAAGAGGATTTAATGCATTAATCTGGAATATGAAGGCCTTGGTCCCTTCAACTTAATAAAAACAATGTTCAGTAAAATTTGGTTGCAGTATAAATTAGTTTTGATTGGGAAAAAAACAATTAAATCACTAAAAAATCAAAATACTTCATGTGAAAAGAAAGGGGGAAAAAAAACCCCTAGAAAATCAATACAAAATCTTTTCAATCAATAAAAATAAGGAAAAACTGAAAGGAATATTATGACCTTTGCCCGGTCCACCATAAATAAAACCACATTTTGATAACACCCCAATAAAACGACCTTTGCACATAATCTTCCATAAATGGGGCAAACCGATTGGTAACCGGTATAATAGGTTAGTATGACACTTGTCCCTTTGTAATTGGTTAGTGTTTTTTTTTTTTTAAAAAAAATTATTATAATTTTCTGACTTTTTAAAAGGATTTTAATAAATAAATTGATTTTAATTTTTTTTTTATATTCCTCCCTCCGCCATCTGCTCACCCCCACCACCTTCCGCGCGATCTCATGTTCTCTCTCCTCACCAACACCACCACCACCTTCGGCTTCACCGTCTCCCGCAAATAAAAGCGTTGAATTTTGGAGAAGAAGGGGTGGGGTGGTAGAATTTGAGAGGAGAAGGGGGTAAGGTGGTTGGAAATTTGATGGGAAGGGGATGTGGTGGTAGGACTTTGGAGGGGAATGTGGGGCTGTTGGATTTGGAAGGGGAAGCAGTGTAGTGGTTGAAATTTGGAGGGGAAAAGAGTAAACTGCCGGAATTAGGGGGTGGGAGGGGAAGTGGTGGCTAGAAGGGGGGGGAGGGAGATTGGTGGTAGGCTGTATAGGGAAGGTGATTGGAGGAAAGGATTTTAATTTTTAATAATTTTTTTTAAAAAGAAATATGTTTAAATTGAAATTAAAAAAAATCTAACCAATCGTAATGTGGCACATGTCTTTCCTTAACCTATTAAACAAGTTATCGGTTTTTTAACCTATTTTTGGAAGATCGTGCGCAAAGGTCATTTTATTAGGGGATTATCAAAAGGTGGTTTTATTTATGGCAGACCGGGTAAAGGCCGTAATATTCTTGTCAATTTTTCCTAAAAATAATTTCAATTCGATAGAAAACACCCCAAATCATTTTAGGACTAAAGCTTTGTTTTTGGTAGAAAACAGTTGAAGAGAAAGGAAAAACCATATAATTGAGTTTACTTCACTTACTGAAAAATCCCGACACTTGTAGACTGTGGTGTATGTGACTCTTGGGTTTCCCTTGACACAACTTTCAGTCTTGAAAAATGGGAGATCTCTACTCAGTCCAAAATCTTCAGGTACCAGGCAATCTGAAAACATACAACAATAATACCAGGATCAAATCTAAGTTAATTTAATGTCCTTGAACCACGTGTCAACTCTATACACGTACAAGTAAAAAGTAATGAGGCAACAATGCATACAATCTATGAAATTCTACAAAACCAAATATATGATGAAAACAAGATTGAGAAAGAAGTCATAATAAAGACTCCTAATGGATCATCGGAGCTAGAAAATTGCTAGGGTATTACTATTGCAAGTCATGTTACTATAAAGCACCTGTTATCTATATGAAAATTGATGATTAGAGAAGTAAAAATCTAGTAAGTACGCTAATTGGTATTAACTTCCTGGAGAAGAAACAGTAACTTTAGCATAATAAGCTGTCAAACCCATACTTTTCTTTCCCATCTTTTTTTATACTACGTATAATGTAATAAGGTACAATAGAGTAGTCAACTGACATCCAACACCAAGAAAAGAGAAGGCACTGTACAATTTGAAAGAGTAAAAATATCCAGCATAAAATGAAAAGAACTCATATGTCAGGGTGGATGGTACTAATGTTTATAATTTATTAATGTGTTTGATGACATCAAATCCCCATTGTCTCCTCTATAAAAAGGAAACAGGTAAGGTACGTTACGATCCAACCCTTTTCATTATCATGTTGGGTAAACAAATATATTAATCAGAAAACAAACAAACTACAAGAATAAGTTGATGTTTATCACAAATCACTCATTAATTATAATACATATTTGAAGCTGAGAAAGTTTTATAACTTTTAACGTGAAACTGAGCAGTGATGGGCGATAATGAAAGTGAGTTATCGAAAATTCACACTTTTTGAGGAACAAAATTCACACTTGATTCCACATAAGTGAAAACTAAGGTATTGAGATGACTAAATTCCATTAATAAAACCATCTCATGACAAATCAAAGCAACAACCATAAACTCCCACAAGTCTAACACCTATAGTGTGGGTATTTGAGGGGAGAAGATTAAATATACATTAATAAAATCTACCCTAGAGAAAAATCATTAAACAAAATTTAGAAATGAATTCAATATTTCAGATCCTGTATATTAAAAAAAAAAAAAAAAAAAAAAAAAAGGATTATTTTTCTTGCCAACTCCTCCAAAAACAAATGAGTACTGTAACAAGGAACACTAAATTTCTATTATCCCAGTGACTAATAGGGATTTCCCTAAGCTGCATTGCATAAACTTTTAATCAGCCTAATATTCATACATATACATCCCAAGGGAGGACAATATAAAAACCATTTTTCTGATCATTTGGCACCGGTAATTATAAATAAGAAAAACAAAAAAAAATCCTCTTTTTTTTTGGGAACATTATACTAGGATTGCCTTTCCCAATATAGTTTGCTTCCACAAGGGAAACTAGTAAAAGATAAACATCACTTAAAGGAGACAAAAATATCAATAAGGAAGCAGTTGCATTAGTGCACTAAACGACACCATAGCCCCGTGATCTTTCACACAAGAAATCAATAAGTGCATATCGTAAATGAGCAATTTAATTACACCAATCTAGTTAAATCTATTCCTCTTAACTTCATTCTTTTTTTTTCCTTTCATTAACTAAAAGCCAAAATTCTGTTTCTATCACAGAAAGTTCATAACGTCATCTGCAAGCACTTAGTGAAAGTAGATTTCTTCAAACCCCAAAACTCTAATAACCTATCAACCTTAGCAAACTCTTGATGAAAGTAGCTTATCTCTTGCCTAAATTAACAACCAAAGTTCACCGACAAATGCTACAACAAGCATAAGAACATCTTCAAAATGATTCAAATTGAAATTATTCCACCCACCGAACACCCCCCCTCCCCCACAAAGCCCTAATATCGATATGGCATCATCTTCCGCTGTATGGCACAAAATAGGTAGATTCTTAATCAAGGTGATATCTACACAAACAAATAAATAAGAAACGGAAAAATGTGGATAACTCCGGAGTTGCCAACATTGAAAAAGAAAAATGATGACCGATAACAAGAAGAATTGCAGGTCAATGAAACATAATGTGGGATACCATTTACATCAAAAAAATTTCCATTTACCCAAACTGTTATCTTAACTCAAGCCAAACACTTGCACGCATAACTTATTGTTCTATAACAAGACAAATTACTAGTCCATGAAAGCATAATATATTATACCATTAACATCAAAAAAATTCCATGTAACCAGAACTGTTAACTTAACATAAGCTCGACACTTACACGCATAACTTCTTAAAGCTTATACTAGTAAGTAGTAATACCACTACCGCATAATCCAACCAATTTGCTTACTGTAGTTTTGACAAGTCAATTATGTACCAAAGCACAAGCCATTTACAAACAGTAGTTTTGACATGAATTCAACAATCAAGTTCCTTAAAGACAATGCAGGAGAAGGGCAATCCAATGCAGGAAGCTCTCTAATCGAACTTATGAAGAGTCCTATTATGAATCTAATAAAAGTTTCATCCTCAACTTTTTACATAACGTCATAACCTATATCATGAAGCTACATTTAGTGGAATTTGACATAATCATAACTAAAACAGGTTAAATCAATGGTAACATACTAGTATACTAGAGTAATACTCTGATATCAAAGAGAGACACAAAGGGCAATGACGTAAAATTTTATACGTGATTTGATAACAAATACCCATAGTCTAATTTTATATAAATAATATCAAAGAAACAATCCAAAAATAAATTACCCAAAAAACATTGCAAGCAAAGTTTAATTTTGGCACTTATATCATTCCAATAAAATGACAAGCAACAAAATGCAATTACTTTTAAGGCAAATTAAGGTAGAATTCAGGGGAAAAACTATAAAGTCCAAATCAAATTTAACACCAAAAATCAAATTCATCAAAATTATTAGGAAAGAGACCCACCCAGTATGTTGCAGAGATTTTGAACATCTTGAGGAGGAGGAACAATCCCAGGACCTTTGAAAACATTTTTGCAAAAACTATAAAGTTGTTGCAAAGTGAAAAAAGGCAATTCCTTCTTCATGGTAGTAGTACTTGAAGAAGAAGATGATCTCCTTCTCACTTTTTTCTTCTTAACAACCTTACCATTAACAACCCCATTAATCTCCCTTCTATGTTCAACCAACCCAGCATCCATTTTCATCTGAAGAAGGGTTTTGGAGTTCTTTGAGGAATTTTAACAAACACCTGGTGTGCAGAATTTGCAGTAGGAAGAACACAGGAAAAATACGTATTGTAAACAGTAGATCTGTCAATTCTTTGGGAGTAAATTGGAATGGGAAATTGAGATCAACGTTTTTGAGTTGGATTGAATTGAATGAAAAGTAAAAGAGAAACTGAAGTGATTATATAAACAGAGGGAAGGATATAGAAAACCAGGGGCCATCTTGGGTGGACTCGAAACGGTAGAGAAAACCAGCAAGTATTTTTTTGGGTTGATTTTTTTTTTTTTTTTTTTTTTTTTTTTTTTTAGAATTAAAATATTGTGTTTGGATATGCTAATAACACTAAATTAAGATGGAAATATGAGATATTGTAAGATTTAATTTAATGCAATTTTTTATTGTTTAGACCCCACTAGAATAACATTTGTACAATTGTACTTGTTTGGTTTGAATTTTAGGATATCTTTTTTCCTTAAAGGGAAGATATTGATAAATCTGTCAAATCAGTTGGTTATGGTGTGAAATAATTTAGTCAAATCGGTTGATTATAATATGAAATAATTCAGTCAAATTAGTTGATTATGGTATGAAATAATTCATATTTGAACAGTCTGGGTAGAACATTGTTTTGGTTTAGGGTTGAGAAGATTTGAAAATATTTGGTTTAGGGTTTAGGAGATTTAATTCTAACAATTGACAGTTTAAAGTTGTTTTATGGTTTAATGTCCAGTTATTAGGTGTGCTTCTTACAAGGCTATATGTTTATACTTGTTGATTTGTGGGTGTAATTATTGACATGCCATTATTAACATGTCACTAATATAAGTTGGTGTCAATAAATGCAAAAACCCCCAAAGTTGATGTTAATAGTTGTAATTTTTCTAATCGCAATAATGTGATTTGGTTCAAACCAAGAAAAATTGTAAAATAAGATTTGGTAATTTTTTTCCCACATATTCCAATCCAATATTATATCGAAAATATTTCTAAATATGTAGAAAAAGTAATTTCATACTTGGATATTAGAGCACTCCAATGGCAAGTTAATTGTCAAATTAGTCCGTCATGCCACATAAGCTTTTAAGCTAATTATCATTTTAGTTCCAATGGTTAGCTAATAGCTTACGATTTAAATGGACCACACCTCCTTAATTGAAGTTGATAAAATTCATTTTATTTATTCTTATTTGTTTTATTTTAGCAATTTTTTTCCAAGCAAATTTGCTTGACAAAGCTAATTTGCTTTGGCCAAACTAATTGCATTTTCTAGCTCCAATGGTTAAGCTAGTAGCTAGAGATTATATAATATTGTAAGCAAGTCTCTAACTACAATCATTGGAGTTGCTATTAGAAATCACGATAAATCTGACAAAGATACCACATGATTATTATTTGTGGCATAAAAAGGTTGTAATATGTGTACTCATCTATCAAATCATATCACTGATAAATAAAGTCAAGTGCCGCACCTAGGCCACAAGACAAATACACTTGACGGTTTAATTTTTTGACAAATGTCGCCCAAATACGCAACAAATAACGTATTACTATTACACATATTAATCTATTTACATTGTAAATGCATTTTTGAAAAATCTTTTAAATAATATCCAATTATGATATATTTTAATTTGTTCATAATTTATGGTTGATAGGTTTATATGTTGATTATTTCAATTTCAATATTATAAAATAAATTTAAAGCAACTCTTATATGCTTTATAACGGTTGATAGTATAGGTTTAATTAATCTCCATTGAAGAGGTTAAAATAATTTAAATTGAGTTTTGAAAATTATAAACTTACACAATATGTACAACTTATGTAATATTTGAATTCATTTTATGAAGATACTAGATGAATCTCGTGCGTAGCACGGTTTATTTATATTTTTTAAAATAAATATTTTTTGTACTTATGTGATAAAATTTGTTATTTTTTTCCGGAGGGAATTCAAGTTTATAACATGGATAAACTTTTGGTGTTTATCCTAGGGTAGAAAAGTCATTTTGTTTTAAAGTGGAAAGGGTACCTTTGAATTAGTCGGCTAAAGCGGTTAACGTTTGGTTATTCCCCGTTAGCGTCTGGTAATTCCCATGAACATGTTATGAGAGTCGGGACCACTAACCCTGGTTAAGCAAAAGTATTAATTACACTTGTAGCAATAAAAAAAGATCGTTGTGGTTTAACACTTGAAGAACGCCGATTATAAATACGATTAAAATTCCTTCCCCTGCGGGTTTAACTGGAATTGAAATCATTTGGTACATGCGGCCTCGTTGTTTTCAATGAAGAACGTGAGTGATAGGTATCAAAAATGCGAATTTCGTCTTTCTTTAAATCATTTGTGGTGGTTTCTATTTGCAATCTGGAATGTCTTTTTTGAATTGGTGAATTTGATGATTGTGGATTGCAATTATTTAATTTTAAATCTGGAATGTCTTTTTGAATTGTTGAATTTGAAAATTGTGAATTAGAATTATATAATTTGAAATCTGTAATGTCTTTTTTTTTTAATTGATGAATTTGATGATTGTGAATTGCAATTATTTAATTTGAAATCTTGGACTGTATTTTGAAAATCTGAAGTAGTTGAATGCGACTTGATAAATGCAAGAATGTGATGATCTTGAATTGTTGTTGATTTGTTTGCTTGATTTCCATGTGGAATAGAAGTGATGAGATGTTTTTTTGAATAATTGTGGATCTGATTCATGGGTGGCATTGGATATTAGTCGTTTGTTGCCATTGGGGTTTGTATATTTTCAACTTATATGATTACCTTTTTAAGATGCAATCGCTCTTCTTAAGAAAACCGTATGTTGTTTTGTAGGGGCGAGATGGTAAGGTTTTAGGGACTGATATGTGATTTCAAAATTTTCAACTATTTCCAGGACTACTCCAGGTATTCTTCGATGTGTTATGCATGTTTGGTGATTATGTATTATGATGTGTTTCATTAAGATAGTAATGTATTCCCATGTGTTATAGGATAATGAATTGTATGTGGGTGGGAGTGGGAAAAAAAATCAGGTTGTGTTTTCAGACCGTAGGAGACGAACTAGTCGGGTAAGGTTTGCTTGGTGTTTTGTACTCTATAATTAATATTTGTTGTTGCGGCTGAAGTATGTTTGTACAGAATTTTTCAGCCTCCTAACTTGACATGTCATATTGAGACTTTTGGGAGGATATGTCAGAGATTTGATACAAGATGATATGGTTGGGTTAAAAAGATAGGTTTTGGTGGGTTATTGAGCATCCCTGGTGATTTGCAACTTTCTAGGCAGATTGGCTATTGGTTAATGTCGTGCATAGATCATATCACTAAGAAATTAATTGGCTGTGACGGAAATGAGTTCTGGTTTTCCAAGAATCAGGTGCAATGGGTCCTTGGTATACCCAATGGCGGTCAACCTGTTCTTAGTTATAAAACTATGAATTTTGAGGAAAGGGAAAAAGTTAATGAAATAATTTGCAAGTATGGTAAGTTGTTACAAAGCAAATCTTCAAGGGATTGTGGTTGTGTGTATTACTCTAAGAGTATTGCTATTGATTCTAATATAATGGATTTGTTAGAGGGTGTTTGGGAGGATGATTAGGAAGAAGAATTTAAGACTCTTTTTTTGTTAGTAGCTCTTAATTTGGTGTTGTGTCCCACAAAGTCACCTCGACTAGCAGTGGACTTGATTCCTCCTCTAACTTGTTCCCTGAATTGTGCAAGCTATGACTGGTGAGGTCTTGTGCTTGATAGCCTGATGGAATCGGTTTCCAGTTTTGCATGCCGGTTTTATGGTTCTTGTTTTGCGGTTGAATGAGGTGGGTGTTGTATTTTTGTCGTGGTATGTAGTCGTTGCATATATGTTTAAGTTTGTGTTTGATTGTTACGATGCCCTTAACGAATTTCTACCGTATTTTTCTGTCTAGTTATTCTATTTGGACAGGTTGAACAGGTAGCCCCCACTTTGACTGAGTTTTGAGAAACATAAGTTTCGAAAACAAAAGTCAGAGTAGCGATAGGGACGGAGAATGATTCAGAACGTTCTGTGATCCTAAATCCTTCTTGTAATACCGATACCTGCAAACTAGCGTTAGTTAAATAGATAAAAGAGTTAAGAAAGATGTATCTTGCACCGTCGAGTACACGTCTCTGGAGAAACTGATTTGCTTGTCGCGTTTTGTTGTGATGACCCTCCACAAGCTAGGGAATATCGCCGAAGGTGACTGCTTGTAGCCATCTTTGATTGTTGTGGTACCTCGCCGTTGTTGATGTTGTGGTCGTACTTCGCCACTGTTAATGCTCACTCGTCTCTGAACAAAAGAGCTTCCTTGAGAAATTTTCACTTGTCTCTAAACAATGGAGCTTTGGATGACATGTCCACGCGTCTCTGAACAAAAGAGCTTTTATGGATAAAATGTTCACTCGTCTCCGAACAAGAGCTTTTGATGATATGTTCATGTGTCTCGGAACAAAGAGCTTTTGATGAGGGTTGTTCACTCATCTTCAAACATGAGCTTTTACTGATATGTCCACGCGTCTCTGATTAAAGAGCTTTTGATAAGGGATGTTCACTCGTCTCTGAACAATGGAGCTTAGGGAAGATGTCCACGTGTCTCTGAACAAAGAGATTTGATAGGATGTAGGCGTCGTTCGAAGTGCGCCTACGTTAAGCATGTATGAATATGCTTGACATTCATAGGAAGTGAGAATTGACATAATACGATTAAGGACAAAACAAAGTAAAAAGCCGCCAACAAGTTTTTAAGGTTTTTGTAAACCGTTCACGAATCATAAAAGACAACCACGAATAAAGGGACATCGGTAGGCAACAACGATTGACCCGTGAAAGTTACACACCATTCATAATCCATGAGATTACTAACTCCACATGGTTCGAAACCACGAAAGGAGGACCGGGGATGATGGTACGAAGTGAGTCATGGAGTCACATTCGTCGGTATTGGCCTCTACTCGATTCTTATAGTGAAAAGTGATTCCTGCGATCTCAAAGGCATGCAAACAAATATTCAATTTGCTCCAAACTATTATTATGCTAAATTGGTTGAATATTAATGCAACACATAATTCTAAAATATTAGTGATCACTTTAATTAATAACAAGATTAAAAAGGAACCTAAACCGGTTGTCCAAATGATCTAATTAGGCGTGATTTTCAATTACATATTCCCTTTAACATGCAATATGGTGATCATAAAAAATATAATAAAATCATCATTAATATTGAAAGCAATTTAACCATAATATCGTTATGTCAAATCAAATAATAATAAACCTAATCATGATATTAGCAATTTTAAAATAAAATAAGTTATCAAATTAATTACTCACATTCCGCGGGACCCTATAAATATCTACATCATGAATTAATTGTTAGTAACTTCAATAAATATATAAATCAAATTAAAATTAAATTAAATTAAAAGTAGAGTTGATTTTGTCTAAACCCTTAGTAAATTAAACCTTTTGTTTCAGGGTTTTTTGGAATCCCTCGGGATACCGGTCACGCTTCGCCGGCAATGAGACTCGGACACCTGCAAAA